CGTGTGATTTACACATACTGTATATTTTTCTTTGTTGAGTGCTTTTTTATTTCTTTGTTGAGTAGTCTTAGTACTTTTTATTTTTAACGTATTTGTTCACTTCTGGTGTGTAATTAGAAGTCTACATCTCATAATTTTCGTGGTTCTACTTTGTTCCAGACATAAAATTATTTTACGCCACTGCTAGATAACTCTGACATTATAATATTCATCTTAGTCTCTTTATAGGATACTCTGGCACTTCATATTAATAATCTATTTTTTAATTAGCTAATAGTTAATTAATCGATTAGCTATCTGCCCTGATGCGCAATACTCCACAGATTCAATGAATAATTAACTGATAAGGTAGATTTCAGTGCAACCAAGAGATGTTATCTGAGTTAAAATCTCTGCCCATACTGAACTTACATAATTAGATAATTAGGTTTTGATAAAAACTGCTGATATTTATTAATTATAATGCCTAAAATTTATATATTAATTAATATAATTAAAATCTTTAAGTGACTGACCCACTGATTAATCACGAGCCTGCTCAAACCACTCAACGTAAGAAGCTCAATTTTGGCATACAGGTTGAGTCTAGGGTGTAGAGGTTCGATAAGAAGGGATTTTTCGAAATTCCAGTTCCAAGAGGGTGAAACCACCCCTCAAATATTACAATATTTTTTTATTTAAAAAACGGTCAAGTTTCCGAAAAAACGCTTAAACACGTATATTTATTTTGTTCTTTTACATATTTTAAAATTTTTAAAAATGTATACAGGGTGTTTAGAAAAATTTGGTCATTGATTAATCACGATCCTGCTTAAAGCGCTTGACGTAAAAAGCTGATTTTTGGAAAACGGATTGACTTTAGGGTGTAGAGGTTCGATAAGAAGGGATTTTTCGAAACTCGAATTCTAAGGGGGTGAAACTATACCTAAAATATTAAAATATTTTTTATATAAAAACCAATGAGTTTTTCGGAAAACCTCTTAAACACGTCTATTTTATTTTGTTATTTTACATATTTTAAGATTTTTTATAAATTTATACAGGGTGTTTCATAAAATATGACCATTGAGTAATCACGATTATTTAAAGCTGATTTTTGGCAAACGGATTGACTGTGGGGTGTAGAGGTTCGATAAGGAGGGGTTTCTCGAATCTCAAATTCCAAGAGGGTGAAAACGCCCCTCAAATATTACACTATTTGTTATTTAAAAAACGGTTAGTCTTTCGGGAAAACGCTTGGACACGCATAATTTATTTTGTTTCTTTACATATTTTGAATTTTTTTTAAAAATCATACAGGGTGTTCCAAAAAAGTTGGGTAATTGATTAACCACGATTCTGCTTAAGCTGCGTGACGTAAAAAGCTTATTTTTCGCAAACGGATTTTTCCAAAGTCAAATTCCAACGAGATGAAACTACCCCTCAAATATTATCAAGTTATATAATAATATCGCCATATTGTTTTTTCTCATGCTGACATAAATGTGAGAAAATTTTATCCAGTTTGTATGTTAATGGAAATTCTTGCTTTGCTTTATCATCACCATTATAAATGATTAATTCCACGCGAACGAAGTCGCGGGTACACGCTAGTACGATAATATAGGCCAATGAAAATCCACAATAATTCTAAGTACAAGACAATAAGTGTTCATCACTAACCATCTAAAAAAATTGAAAAAAAAATGAAAAAATCTCAAAAAAGAACAAGTGAAGCATTTTTCTCACTAATTCCTTCCACTTTAATACACTAGAACACTAAATACCAATCGCCAAACCAGAAGAAAATTAAAAAAAAACACGAAAAGAATAATGGGGTAATAACGGACTCTCCGAGCGCACCGATCTCACCCCTCCTCCCCCTAGAACTAATTCGAAAGTACGTGTTTACCCGTGTCTCCCCTAACGAGGAGTTATGCCGCCCCCCTAGGGGACCCCCACAGGGTCGGACTTTTAATGAAGACAAAAGCCGGCACTGGAGCCACAAGCGCCACCCTTAACCAGTGCCGGGAAGAAATATTCGGCCTATTAAGATGAGGCGGGGGGTTAATTTGGGGGGTTGTAGTCGTTCGTTTTCATTTGGGGGGATCCCGAGCTGTGATTTTTCGACTTTGAGGGGTTTAGGAGGTTTATTTAAAGAGATGGTTGTATTTTTTGCGGTTATTGGTGGATAAAATAATGAGTTTAGTCTGAAAACCACTGATTTTTTTTATTATAGCCTGTATTTTCGTATTTTACTCATTATAACTTATAAGTAACAGTAGTTTTATTGAAATCGCCAATTTTCATGACTATATGTGTGGGAAAAGCTCGAAAAATTGGCCGTTTTTTAACTTTTTTTTACCTATTTTCGAGGCTCTCAGACTATTAGGAAACCCAGTCCTAAAATTCTGAAAATTTCAGGGTTTGTAGGAAATTTTATGTACTTTTAGAAAATATATTATTATTAGAGATTATATGCTTTAGTTTTATGAGGAAATCAATTTTTTGAAACCCTTGTTTGAGATATATTTTTGATAATGATTCCACTTGGTAGTATAGTTCAACTCCAGAAACACGCCTATGAGGTTTTTTTCGCGAAAAAAAATTGAAAATTCGAAATTTTTTGAAAAATTTTTTTTGAATTTTTTTAGTTTTTAATTAAAAAATGTAATTTCTCTATAATATGGCAACATAGGTATTAGATTAAATTTACAAGAACGAAAATCCAGAAAAGATCCAGTGGTTCTCAAAATTTTAGCAAAAAATCATTTTTTTTGAAATTTTCAACGTAAAATAACTCCGTTATTTTGGAAAAATATTTATTTATTTGAAAAACGAGAAAGAGAAAATATGTTGTAAATTTAATCTACTACCTATGTTGCCAAATTATCAAGAAATTATTTTTTTAAATAAAAACTAAAAAAAAATTCAAAAAAAATTAAAAAAAATCCGAATTTTCAAAAAAATCGCAAACCTAACCTATACTGTTTAGTACAGAAAATAAATAATATGCCTAATTGTTCTGAAAAATCTGAATTTAGCCAATTTTGCTATTTAGTTAGGAATACTGTACTAACCTTTGAATAAGAAGACTAAGGAAGGAGCATATCAAAAATCTTAGGTACACCGCGATGGGCCTCAAATATGGCCGACTTAAATTCCGGTTTATCAGTGTCGTTCTAATTTTATTTAAAAAATGTAAAACTATGATGTAGGGTAGACGTGGGGTAGACTCAATAATTTGTTGTTTTATTTTACGTTGTGAATAACCGTTGGTAGTTATTAAAATTGTTATAAAAATATATAATTCTAATAAAAATAGATAAGTTATAATAAGTATTTATTAACACAAACATCCGATACGCTACTGAAGCAGGTAAGTCAAATTAACGTAGTAAAGCTAAAATGCAAGAAAAATATATAATTTAGTTAATTTAAGTGAATTTCATAAATGATCGGTTTACTACACGTATGTATATTATATAGTCACTTACTAGCGAAAAGTTGTTCGATTATTTCACTCAATTTTTGCCGAGATCTACCGCACGCTACACAACCAACTATTTTAGAGTCTTTTTCGATAAATCGCGATAGTGTCACTGTTAATTTAAGTTCTGCCCACAATTTCCATCTAGATTTACTACCTTTATACAACTATCAGTAGTAGAATAAATAATAAATAACATAAAATAAGCTCCGTAAAGACTGACAAATCCACAAAATTTCAAATCAAATTCAAATGTGTTAAATGAATCGTCAAACAGAACTGTCAAGGATCCCCACCCTAGAGAGCTTTTATGGTGGCTTTTCCGCCTACCATGCATGAATACATGGATAGCATTATGCTCCTTCCTTAGTCTTCTTATTCAAAGGTACTAACGAGTACTCCTAACCAAGGTCATTATGCCCTGGTTTATGAAAAAAATACACACCTTGTAAATTGTGCTAACTAACGTATTTTCTGAATTGCTGAACTGAGTTTATTATAAAAGCCTTGAAACGTGGGCGACGAAAAGCACGAAGATTGAGGAAGGAGGGGGAACCTCGGGAAATGGGGGAGGAAACTTTTCCGAAAAGAAAATGAAATTGGCGATCGATTCTGACACATGTAAAACGTCGTATCGACTTGATGGGGAGTCTAATAAAGATGTACAAAGTTGACGGGTGAAAGGAAAAATACCTGTGCCGTTTTATTACAGTCTTTTTTGAACTTATTTTCGCGATATTTTATCGATATTTTGCAGAGGAAATGATGTTGGTGTGTGCTTTATATAATCTTGTTTCTTTTGGATTCAACATACAACACTTATTACAATTTTCTGTCTCACGATGTACCGTGGGTGTCCGGGAAGGGATCATAGTTTCATAGTTGTCGATTTTAGAAAGAAATCAGTACATCGTATATTATTTCGTATATTTTTCATTTTATTGATTTTATCGAAAGCACTGTTCATTAAAATGTTGTATCCTATGTTATAGTGCTTGTTTCTCTCTACAATTTCCTGTCTCACAATGTACCGTTTGTGTCCGGGAAGGGATCATAGTTTCATAGTTGTCGATTTTAGAAAGAAATCAGTGCATCGTATATTATTTCGTATATTTTTCATTTTATTGATTTTATGGAAAGCACTGTTCATTAAAATGTTGTATGCTATGTTATAGGGCTTGTTTCTCTCCACAATTTCCTGTCTCACAATGTACCGTTTGTGTCCGGCAAGAAATCATAGTTTCATAGTTGTCGATTTTAGAAAGAAATCAGTACACCGTATATTATCTCTACCTTCTAACATACCAAATCTCGTTTTTTTATCTGAAAAAATAAAAAAGTTATAAGGGTGAGCCTCTTCTGAGACTCACCCGGTATCTATAAATCATATATCGATTTTTGTCAAATATAGTCAATCAAAGCTTAAATTTTTCATTTAATAGAGCGCCAAATTAGACATACACATTTAAAAATAAATAAATCTAATTGCTCTCAAAATTCTGAATTTAGCAAATTTCTTTGTGTTTGCTAGGTTCGTTATTGGCCAGTACGTCACTGTGCATGGTGACGTCATCAGTCACGTGAACATCAGCCACGTGATGGTGGAGGATGGAGGTGAATACACGTGTACTGCCGAAAATAGAGCTGGGAAAAGCTCGCACTCTGCTAGATTAAACGTCTATGGTAAGTCAACATATTTTAAGTTTTTTTAAGGTATAGGTAGTTTATAGTTAATTATGTAATCACTAGAGAAAAAAAAATATAATAAATATCTATTAGTAATCGCTTAACAGGATGTTTTGATATGTTTCTTGCAAGAAATTTTGAGGATAATATTAAAAAAAGTGGAAAATATAGGATAAATAAAAGAAAAAAAGATGAAAATGAAATCGTGTTCGGATTTTCCGTTTTTCCTTCCCAACCTAAATCCAAGTATGATTTGGCTTACTCGTATTATGTCAAATTTACTGCACGAAGCGCGAGGAGAAAAAGACAGAGGATTTCACACAAGAGGAAAATTTGCTGGCATATGTCCAATTTACGAAAAGTATAAAAAAATCAATTTTATAGCGATTTTATTGTATTCAGTGTTGAGAGAATTAAATAATTCTAATTACGAAGATCATTGAATAATAGTATACCGGGTGTTGCATCGTCGGACGGGACATAGGAAATCCCATGTAAATTTTAATGGGGTCAATTATTGGCTTCCCGAATTATTTTAGAGAATAATTCTATTTAGGTTTATTGAAGAGCACTAAAACCCACATTCAAAAGAATAACTTTAGATATTTTTGATTAGCTCGTTTACGAGTTATCGCCGATTTCTTTTTAAATATTTCTCCTTTCTTATGGCCCTGTATTTACTTATTTGTCTTACTGAAGTTGTCATTTCAGAAATTTACCTATTTAGTGCTTTATTATTATTATTGAAAACTCATTCCTACATCGGAAATCTTAAAGATGTTTTTATAAATACAAATTAATATGAATTAAAGTAAAATAAAGCAATCAATTCCAAGGTTAATTATAGTATTATTACAATCTTCAATAACTTATTAATTTAGGTACTATTAAATTGTTAGAACTTTAGGATTTAAGAAGATGTTCAAATATTCCTCCATCGACTGCTAGACAATAACCCAGGCGATCATAAAATTCTCTTCTTACATTCGCTAGTTGGTAAACTGAAATTCTATTGCATTCGGCAGAAATAGCATTTTTTAACTCGACTAGATTTGGGTATTCTTTATCCTTGTATATCCTGTTTTTTAAATGGCCCCAGAGAAAGAAATCATTTGGCGAAATATAAGGAGACCTTGCTGGCCAATTTACTGTATGATTTAGGCCAATAACGTTTCCGTTAAAACTATTGTCTAAATATTCCCGAGCAGCCAGGGTACTATGTGCCGGGCAGCCATCCATTTGGTACCAAACTTCCTGATTTTCCCTAGCGGCATCATGTAAAGCAGGTAAAATATGATTTACGAGTAGTTCCAAATAATATTCTGCATTTAAATTTCTATAATAAATAGACTTCAGTACAATATTTGGTTGTAAAAACTTAAATACGATTAAAGAAATGAAGCATTAAAATTATTACTGTATTTTGACATAAACCTAAATATTTCAAAAACGGTAAGATTAAAGTGCGGTAAGCCTTAATCAAATTTACCTTTATTTTAATCGTAGAAACTTAAAATGTAATAATATACAGGGTGTTCCATTTAAAAAATACAGATTATTTGCTACACAAAAAGTTTTAATTTTCTTATAATAATGCTTAACGAACCGAGCAAATTTTATTTTATTCGTTTTTTGACCATGAAATTTTCCGTAATTTAGAATATCCGCCTGGCTGGTGCCCTATTCCCTTCCTTTTAATAATCGCTTTATAGCCAGGCCCATAAAACATTATTACTCGTAAAAGATCGTATTAATATCGCCATAATGCGACGTAATCTCCCCCCGCTCCCATTTTTCACCCGTTCTCCAATCGAAGTGGGAGAACTATCCCCCTCCCGGGCTATTAGAGATCGGGTAATTACCCAGTCTGCGTAATTATTTCCCTGGTGGCTAATGCGATTTTGCCCAAAACTGGAGGCAGCAGCAGCGCCACCGCCGGCGGATATTCGAAACCCGTCTGGACCGGTCCTGATTGAGTTTGGGGTCTCAACCTGGGCCATTGGACTCCCCTCTGGCCTCCCAAAAGGGCGGATTAGTTCGGAATCCCTGTTCGATACGGGGAATTAGTTATTCTGTATCGGACTTCTTAATAGTTTTAAGCAGGAGGTCGTGCGTAGATTATATTATTTCGTAATTATTCGTTCTAAAGGTTCTTTCAGAACCTCCCAATTAGTGGTTTCAGTTACACTTTATACTTTTTAGTTTATGATCATTCACAATGTTTAAAGAACACAATTAAAATTAATAGAATATCCTAGCAACAGCTTGGTTTAGTCAGTTGTATCCATAGAGAAAGCCTAATATTTAGGCTGTATTCCGTTGCAAAACCAGGCGAACCAGACCGGTAAACCATGGTAAAGAGCGGTTCCTGGAAAACATCGGTTTGATACGGAACGGTTTTGGTAAAATACTGGAAACGTCAAATGTTGACGTTTTCTAAATTTCAATACCTTTTTTAGAAAATTTATCTTTGATGCCTTTTTTAATGTACCTATTCTCTGCTTTTACGTTTGCTTCTTCTTTTCAATGGAGTTTAATATTGAAAAGTACTTTATTAATAAACTGTTAAACTAGCTGGACAGCTCAAGTGAAGATTTGCAGGTCCAATATTAAAACAGATCAATAATAAATAAACAAATCTAATCAATATTTATATTTTTATAGCTTACAAAACATTCACGATGCCCATTCTTCTTGGTGAGACAATTCCGTTTGCGGAGGAAGTTAAGTATCTAGGATTAAACCTGGACAAAAAACTTAGCTGGACCTCTCATCTGGAAAAACATCAAAAAAGGCTTGCTATGCTCTATGGGCAAGCCGCCGAATTTGTGGTAGAAACTGGGGATTAAACCCCAAAAATATGTACTGGCTATACGTGACGGCCATCAGAATTATTATCACGTATGGTGCAGTTGCCTGGTGGCAGAAAGCCAACCAAACAACGGCAAAGAATAAATTGTCGAAACTACAACGACAAGCATGCTTAGCGGTGACTGGTGCCTTCCATTCCACGCCGTCAAAAGCTATGGAAACCCTACTCGACCTACCTCCTCTTCAAATTCTTTTGGAAAGAGAAGCGAGATGGGCTACATATAGGTTTCTAAATATAGCCCGAGGAAGCCAAGGAACAGTTATGTTCATACAAAACCGACTAGTAGAAGAACTACAGTCGGATGAGATTCTGGGAATGATCTCGGATCTTACACCACCAGTCCAACTCTTGACGCGCACCTACAAGTCCTGTTTCCGAATAAGGGACGAGTGGGATAAGCCGGGAAACGGTTTACTACATGCGGAAATGTTGGTACACGGACGGATCCAAAACGAAAAAGGATCTGGAGCAGGAATTTACTGCAGCAGTCCAGACTGAGATCTACTACAGTCTTGAAAACACACCACGATCTTCCAAGCTGAGCTATATGCTATTGAAACCTGTGTGCAACTGCTGGTAGAACAGCAATACACCGGGAAAAACAATATGCATATTTTCGGATAGTCAAGCCGCGCTGAAAGCACTTGAGGCAACGAAAGCACATCTATGACGATTCTTCATTGTAAGAAACTACTCAATATACTGGGAGATAGGAACAAAGTGTCGCTAATATGGATACCGGGACATGTCGGCCTAGAGGGAAATGAACGTGCTGATTCCCTCGCAAAAATTGGTGCAGGCTCGCCATTCGTGGGCCCAGAACCGACACTTAGCGTTCCTAAAAATCTCGCAAGAGACAGGCTCTGTGAATGGGTTAGGAGTGCGACGTTCCGGGACTGGAATGGCAGTCCCGGAATGGAACATGTCAAGAAAATCCTAGCAGGGCCATCCAAACATAGAACAGGAGAACTCCTAAAGGCCGGTAGGAATGGAACGCGTGTGCTCACTGCAGTGTACACGGGCCACTGCCGGCTGAGGTCTCACCTACAGAGGACGGGACTGGTGGAAGACGCCGAATGCCGACTCTGTATGGAAGATGACGAAACAATGAAGCACGTTATGTGTACCTGTTCCCCGCTGGGAGCAGGACCAGGTTTGGGATGTTGGCAAACCCATGCTAGACCTATCAGACCTAGGAGACATATCGCCCTCAGACATAACGGCCTATATTAGGAGGCTGGGTCTTGAGGGTGAACTTTGACGCTCTTTGTAAATTAGAGCGTGTAGAAACTGAGCCACAATAGGCCCTGCGGCTCAGTGGAGTGTCCCCTATGGGACCCACTCTTAGTCAATACAACAATACAAACATTCACGATTACTTGTTGTCTTGTTTTTCATGTTTTTTTAAATGTTCCTGATTTAAGAAACAATAGCTGCATGATAAGTTTAAATGGTCCTAAAAAGTCATTCTATTTAGTTAATGAAATTTATTTACCTTTACTGCCTGCCTCCATTGCTTTTGGATGTAAATACAAAATATTATAACAAATTTAAAAATTAATTCGAGGTTAGAATATAACAAATATATTTGTTATATTAGCATTTTTGTCGTTCTAAGCAAGACATATACGAAACAAGAACATATTATACAACCCTTTGCTTATTTCGCTTTAAGGTCAACGTTTCCCTGAGCTGCTAGCCCACTTTATCCTTGTCTGTAGCAGAATATTCTGACGCTAGGAAATTCATCTCGGCGCTTTCGACACGCTTGCTTGCAAGCGAAATGCACAAACGCAACCTCCTGCTTTTTTTTGCTCGTTTTTTATTTCGCAACCCCTATTTTTCTCCGAAACGCTGCCGGCTCGAAAGGAGCTCGCTGCATTTATTTCATACTCAGAGAAATAAGTAAATTTAGAGACGTATTAGCAAACCATATCGGCAAGCGACAATCTTGGGTCGGTACTTACGCGTCTAGGAGTGAGTCGTTGTGGCGATCTTGTAAGTCGTTGTGAGAAAAATGCGAAGTCTCTTCAAAAAAATCTTTGAAGAGACTTCCCATAACCTTCCTAACGCAGATGGACCACCCAGTATAATAATTAACTATAATATTGTGTAAAAAAAAATATTTCAAAATTTCTCTAGGAATACTTGTATCTCTAAAATTTTCTGCTTTTTCACAATTTTCTTGCTTACGATTTACGTTTATTTTTTCAGGCATGCCCTACATTCGCCTGATTCCAAAAGTAACAGCTGTAGCTGGGGAGCAGCTGAAGCTGAAGTGTCCTGTAGCTGGGTATCCTATCGAGGAAATTCACTGGGAAAGAAGTGGGAGTGAACTACCCAACGGGCTAAGACAGAAGGTTAGATTTTTTTCGTAGCTACAAATAGAGACAAAATAAAGTTTTTTTGATATATTTTTTGTGTTTTTTTCTAGGTGTTGCCTGATGGTACACTAATAATCGAGCCTGTCCAGAAAAAGGAGGATTCTGGTGTGTACACTTGTTGGGCGAGGAATAAACAAGGACATAGTGCGAGAAGAAGTGGAGAAGTGAATGTGATAGGTGAGTTTTGACTTTGATTTCGTACTGTATAAAAACATACAGAAAACAATATTTTTTTTAAATTTCCAGAATTTTTACAATTTGTATTTTTTTTAATAGAAAAACTATATTAATAATTATCAAATATTTTACTGATACTCAATAGAATTTACGTAAAAATAATTTAGATAGATACTTAATACAAAATTTGGTCTTTAGTAATTAAATATTTCCTATTATAACTATTTTAAAATCAGATAAAATATTTTAAAATTTAGTGGGAGATTTTTTGAACAATTATTTTACTTTTAAAGCATAATATATTACAAGTAAAATTCATTATAATATACGTCTTATACATTTGTATACCAGTTTTATTTTGTGTAAGAGCTACATAACTGATTCTAATCACGTTTCTATAGAGTGTTTACGCAATTTTTGGTGCTCCTAAGTAATAAGGAATAGAAAAATTAGACTTACTTAGACTTTCCTATTACCAGAGAGAAATTCTAGGTTATTCCTGAAAAACTACCTTTTTATTCTGTCTTATAATTGTATCACGTTTTAATTATTTTAATAAACTTTAAAAACACATAAATTTTTTACGCTCAGTACAAAATGGATTAAATTTTAGAATATTATTTTAAAAATTATAAGGTTTTTAAGCGAATTTCTAAAGATATTTTTTTATAACATTAAAAATTATTAGTGTACAAAAAGCGTATCAAATACAAATAAATTATGTAAAATAATTTTTAAATTAAAAATTCTTAATATTTTCGAGTTTTTTAGTAATCTATTTGAAAAAAACGATTCTCTTTTAACATACATTTACTATCTTCAGGTTTATACTTGTATAAACTTTTTGTTTTAATTAATATGAATTCGCATTGAGTTTACATTGATTTTATATACAGGTTGTCCCAGAAATAAGAGCAATTTTTTTAAGGTGTGGTAGATCTCGATAAAAGAAACATATTTTCTCTGTATCGTTTTTCAAATAAGTCCAAAATAACGGAGTTATTCTACTTTGAAGATTTCCAAAAATAAATTATTTTTTGCTAAAATTTTGAGAACCACTGGATCTTCTTTCTTGTAAATTTAATCTAATACCTATGTTGCCATATTATCAAGAAATTATGTTTTTTAACTAAAAAAGATTCCACAAAATTTTTCAAAAAATCTCGAATTTTCAAAATTTTTTTTTCTCGAAAAAACCTCACAGACTTGTTTCTCGGGCTGAACTATACTACCAATTAAAATACTTGCCTTTATTTCTGGGACACCCTGTATAATCTGTCCATATATAGAAGAGACAAAAGTTGTTTTCTGTCATTTTATTTCAAAAATAGATGTATTTTTTTGAGTTCATTTTTTGGGTGTCATGCCAAAATCATTTATTTTTCTCATTGAACAGATTCTATATGTTTAGTATTTCAATCTTTGTGAGCCCAGTTTGAACAATACGATGTATCGTGTTCAAAAATTATATTATCCTGTTGATATTCAAACAAAGATTATATTATTTTGGAAAAAAAATGTTTATTTTTTATAAACTATACGTTTTTGCTTAAAGGAATTAATAGCCTGGGAGGTACCCTACATAATATGAATGGAATTAGTATACGATTTAAAAAATATGTATTTTTTATGGATTTTTAAAAGTTGCTATAATTTTTCAAATAGTTTAATCAACAAATGTAAACAGTTTTAAAAAATTTCGTCCTCGTATTTAAACAACACAGAAAGACACAAAAATATCTCAATAATTCCAATCATATTTCAGCTAGCTTTAAGTATAACCTATAACAAGGTTTCACTTTCTAAAAAGTCGTACCATATTATTCCCTTACCCCCATTTTAACCCAAGTTTGCCATTACAGTACCGCCAAAAATTAGTCCGTTTTACGCTGCAACCGCCATGCACGTCGGTGATCGCGCTTCACTCACTTGCTCGGTCACCAAGGGTGATCAACCTTTGACCATCACCTGGACCAAAGACTCACGCGTCATCACCCACGGCAGCTCTGTCTCCGTCACCCAAGTCGACCCGTTCACCAGCATTTTGGTGATCGAGAGTCTCTCACCCGAGCACAACGGCAACTATTCTTGCGTAGTGAGAAACGCTGCAGCTGAGGTGTCACACACTCAACAACTAGCTGTCAATGGTAAATGCTGATGAATGCCGTTGCTGAGATGAGAAACATATTAATAATACATGAGCGTCTTGGAGTGTTGTTTCGATATTTTTAGATCTATATATTTTTTTGTTATTTTCCTCCCTTTTTTTCTATTTATTCCTCTCTTAGTCTTACAACCCTGCGGTCAGGTTTATACAAACGAAACGTGATCAAAGGGTTGGTTTCTCTATTTCTTTTTCTGTGATGTGTCTCAGTGCCGCCTATCATTGAGCCGTTCAGCTTCCAAGACGGATTGAGCGAGGGTATGCGCACACGCACCGTTTGCGGCGTGAGCGCAGGCGACCCGCCGCTGGCCGTGACGTGGCTCAAAGATGGCAGACCGCTGACGCCGGACCTGGGGGTGAACGTGACAGCGTTGGACGCCTACTCGAGTTTGCTGAGTGTGGCCAGGTAATTTGTGTAGATCTCTCATCGAAAACTTCTATTTTTTCGTTAGGAAAAATTAAAACAAACTAGGTAATGAAACTTTTTTCGAAAAAAACTTTATTACGTCATTAAATAATAGTTATTTTTTATACAAGTCAGAGTGAATTAATTTCGGGAGATGATAATGCAAGAAATTATTATTTCAAGTAGTAGAAAAAATATTGTGCTGGGTTGGCGTTGGTTTCTATGTAATTTGACAAATAAATAAAGTTGTCTCTTTAGTTGTCAGTTTTGAGTCAATATTTTTTAATTCTCTTTCGTGTCGATTGCTGATTGAATTGGAGCCAGAAATGGCTCAAAACGAAATAAGTAAATTATCGACAGATATTCAGGCTGAGGTGACAAACGCCATTTAAATCTCGAATCACTTATGAAAAGGAATACAAAAATTTTCAAAAATGGAAGCAATTAAAAAACGTGCGAGAATAAATAAAGTTTTTAACCTATCCTCGCTGTTAAAGTATCATTTAATCTACCGTTGCGGTTAAAGTACTAGTTTATCTACTATTTTTGATAGATATAAGGCAATTTTAACAGTTGCTATGGAAAAAAAGACTAAAAACTAATACATTAAGATGAAAATCACGTCAAAAAAATATCACCCACCTTTTGCACTTTTTCGAGTTTACTTCATGTTTGGTTTCGAGTTTACTTCATTTTTGGTTATATTATTGCATTTTTGGATTCCTTTCAGATTACTTTACATAAGCCTAACATATGAATAAATAGAAAGAAAGAAATTGCTTTATTATCATAAAAAATTTTACAATTTTGTTGACAAAGCTTAAAAAAAAGAATATAAAAAACATACAAAACTTCACTTAACAATAGAAAAACATATAAAACTAACAGCAAACATACAAAACTAAAACAATACTTTATACAATTATAGAAATTGTACATTGTCAAAAATTTATTTAATTAAATATAAATAAAATATAAACATACATGTAAATAAACAACTGTATATAATGTCAATACTAAATTTAAATGGATAGAAAACAAAATCATTTCTAAATTTAGTGAATGTGTGTTAAATTTAGAACCCTAGATATTAATAAAAAAATCGTTAACCGCGTAAAAGGCTTTCTCCAGTAAGTATGATCTCAAGGCTCTGCGAAATGCAGGAAAGGATGAAATGGAATTAATTTCAGATGGCAGATGATAGTGCATTTTTTTTTGCATTGTACAATTGGGAACTCTTTACTAACTCAGAGTGAGGGGTTGGCAGATACATGTTATGCTCTGCGTTCCTAATTGGATAGCCATGAACTGGCTCTAGAGAAATACTCGATACGTGCTTGCGAACTAGGCAGACGGATTCGAGTATGAATAGGGAAGGAAGAGTTAATATTTTATATCTTCTAAACAAGTCCCGGCAGTGAGCACAACTGGTTAGCCTCAGTGAATATCGCACAGCTCTCTTTTGTAATTTGAAGATACGCTCAAATTGAGTCGCACAACACGCACCCCAGAATGGAAGTGCGTATCGGAGATGCGACTCATAAAGGGCATAATAGACTGTCCTAGATGTTGACAAATTAAGCACATTAGCAACTGATCTAAGTGCGAAACAGGCAGAACTTAATTTTTTAGCTAAAGCATCGATGTGCAAATCCCATTTTAAATAGTTGTCCACAACAAGGCCTAAAAATTTCACAGAATCAACGACGTCAATGGTGGTATTATCAAGTTGAAAAGGTAGCAACGTACTTTTATATGATAAGACTTTAGTTTTAGAGACGTTGAGACACAGATAATTAGAATCGCACCATGTTTTTATGTTGATTAAGTCACTGGAAATGGTTCTATGAAGTGCCGTGGTGTCCGGGCTGCTCCATGTGAAACAAGTATCATCCGCGAAGAGACAGATTTTACCACTGATGTCCAGACTAGCAATATCGTTGATAAACAACAGAAACAAAATAGGACCTAGCACTGAGCCCTGAGGTACTCCGCATTCTATTGGCTTGCAAGAAGACACAGTCTTATCAACCCTCACACGCTGGTTTCTGTTGTTAAGGTAGGACTTAAACCATTCAAGAGGCGTTCCCCTGATACCATAGTACTGCAATTTGTTAGTTAGGATGTTATGATTAACACAATCGAAAGCTTTCGAGAAATCACAGAAAATTGTTGCTGTAACGAGACGGTTGTTCAGACTGGGTATACATTATTAAACAGCGAAAACATAGCGTCATTTGTACATTTGTTACTCAAGAACCCAAACTGAAAGGGGTGAGTATTTTGTATTTTAGAAGAAATGATACAAGCCTCTTTTTAACCAGTCTCTCCATGATCTTCGATAACGTGGGAAGGAGTGCAATTGGACGATAGTTGGAAGCTTGCTCTTTATCACCTCCTTTATGCAAAGGAATAATTATCGCCGACTTAAGGCAATTTGGAAAAGCACCATCTTCAAATGACATATTAATTAAGGCTGAAAGATGGTTTAATGTACATTCCGGCATACTAGAGAACATTTTAAGAGTAAGTCCGTCAGTCCCTGCTGAAGATTTATTTTTAATATCATTTAATGTATTGCGAAGCTCTCGAAATATATTTCGATAGTTTCAGAGATATTAAAAAATAAATCAAAAATATATATTTTTCAGCCCTTCTTAAAAAAAATATTAAGAATACAAGAACTGTTCTGAAATCAAAACTATATTAGATATTTACTTTAGATGGTCTGTACTTTGCTGTAAATATGAAAATCGTAAATCATACAGGATGTTCAAAATTCTACGCCAAACTTTTTAAAATATCAAGTAATTTTTCTTCGTTTTTTTAAATGGAACACCCTGTATATTATTTTTTCAATAGACGGAGAATTAAAAAATGAACATTTTTTGTATTTAGAGTATTTCAAAATTTTTAACGGTTTCGCAGATATTTGCGGTTTGATATTTCATATGGCATTTTCCACAGTAAATTTTTATCAAAGCCACCCAATGATTTTTCTCTCGTATTTTACCATTGAAAGCACCATATGGAATAATACTGCGTGTATCTGCGAAACCGTTAAAATTTTTGAAATACACTAAATACAAAAAACTTTCATTTTTTAACTCTCCATCTAATAAAAAAATAATATACAGGGTGTTCCATTTAAAAAAAACAAAGAAAAAAACATGAACATCCTGTATGATTTACAATTACCATATTTATAGCAAAGTAAGAACAGACCATCTAAAGTAAATACTTAATATAGTTTTGATTTCAGAACAGTTCTTGTATTTTTAATAATTTTTTTTAAGAAGGGCTGAAAAATATATATTTTTGATTTGTTTTTTAATATCTTTGAAACTATCAAAATATATTTATTCATATCTTAGGGTTATGTAAAATGATCTGAAAGGAATCCAAAAATTCAATAATATACAGGGTGTTCCATTTAAAAAAAATCATCCAGGTCCACTCACACTTTTTTGAGCCACCCTATAGAAGTTAAAATATTTTCCTGAAATACATGAAGTTTTTTATTCTCGGAGCTACAGATGCCCGACGCACTATTGCCGGACCCCGTATATTTTCTTTACCGTTTGTCAATTAAGTCCAAAATAACCGAGTAATTTTACTGTGAAAATATAAAAAATATATTTTTACTTAAATTTTGAGAACATAATCATCTAATAGCCAGATTCCCAAAATATTATGTTTTTAACTATGTAAAAAAACTTTGACTCTCTAAAAATATTGGGAACATTTTATTATAGTTTGTAATGCTTTTCGTTGAACAATAATATACACGAGATCTACACAAATTACCTGCCGTTTTCTAGCCTAGACTCACGACACTCAGGAGATTTTACCTGCGTAGCTAGCAATCCAGCTGCCGAGGTCCGCTACACCGCCAAGCTACAAGTCAAAGGTACAGTTGAGATCGACCCCACCACGTCTGTGAATCAAATCCCACCCTTATTGAATTAATGAATCACCAGCCCCGTGAATTGAACCTTTCTCACTCTTAGGGGGGTTCACGCTTAGATACATTCATTTTGAATTAGGTTTTTGTGAGGGAAGCTTCATTCAGAACTACAAAATTAGTGGCAGTAATTTTCAATGGTTAGAAACAAAATTTCATTGTTTTCTAAGCTAGTTATTAGGATATCTCTATGGATACAACTGACTACCGCAAGCTGTTGCTAGGACATTAATTTTAATTATACAGGGTGGTCGAAATTGGTCTGTTTTAACAGAGAAAACTTATTTCCTGACTAGATAGAGCAAAACCGACATAGATGTCATGGGCTCGATTTCTGAGAAGTACATCACAGGACCTAGCAGGCCAAGATATGGGATCCCTTGTTCCAATCCAATTCTCTCTAAATTCTCCATTTAATAGTGCAGTTGTAACCCTGGCTTTTAAATTGTAAATGGTAATACTAATATAGAATGTTGATTTTACCTTTTCAAAAGCCTTTAATTATGCAGATAAATAATGATATAGTGATAAAAAATAATTAGGCAACTATAGGTCAACACAAAATCAAGGTCCGCTTCGATACAAAGATAGAAAACGTAATTTTTCTCTCATTTTTATAAATAAATACACATAACTTTATATCGTTGGCAAGGGTTAAACGCCGGCATTTTTTTAGGTTCATTGCCAACTATGATTTCCATTTAAAAAATTATATTTCTTATTATTTCTGACTAAACAAGCAAGTATAGAAAAAAACTGACTACGCCACTGGATTGTGCTTAAAAAGTACCTTAAGAACGTTTTTACAGAATTTTATTATTGCGGGAAATACAAAAGTTATGGGCAATTTTCCAAATGGTAAAAAATTCAAAAAGACTCCGTATCTCGGTTGGGAGTGAAAATATGAACAGGCGGTTTTTTAAACGTTTTTCAGAAATCGAGCCCATGACATCTATGTCGAGTTTGCTCTATCTAGTCAGGAAATAGGATTTCTTTATTAAAACAGACCAATTTCGACCACCCTGTATATTTATCATATTGTGGATGATCGTAAACTCATAAGTATAAAGTATCATTGAAACCTCTAATTTGTTCCTCAAATTAAGAGATTTTTAATAAAGTTTTACTGTTGATTTTTTAATGTTTAATACATATCTAAGTTTGGACCCTTAATGGCTATTTTCGTAGTTGTAATATTAATCCTAACGTTAAAAATATCTGTTAAAAAGACACATTTTTAAATTTTGTCTGTGATTTTTTATTTAATTTTTGAAAAGAGTTGCCAATAAAACATTTTAATAAAACAACAGTAAGTATTTCATTATAACTTTGTAAAAATGTCTTTGTTAAGTTTAATATTATGAATAAACCATAGAAGACACCTAACAATCAAGTGCTATATCTATATATAATCAATATTATGGAAAATAAATTTCATGCAGTTTTTAGGTATATATTATACTAGATAGTCGTGCCTCGGTGGTACTATCTCGCGATGCGGGACTTAATATCTTACCGCTACTTTACGACAAGTCGTGTTTATATACTCTGCGCTGTGCTCGACATATTGTGGAAATACCCAAGCTCACCTGATGATGGGGTAGGGCTCCGAAACCGGTAGTGAGAGCAGGTTGATCCACATTATGTCGAACACAGCGTGGAATTAATTTCTATATTAGCAGTTCAAGGCAAGAAACTCTTATATAATTTTATTATATATAATCAATATAAGTTGTGTATTTCATCAAAATATTTGAGGTTACCTTGTAAGTAATTATACAGGGTGTCCCAGAAATAAGTGCAAGTATTTTAAGTGGTGGTAGATCTCGATAAAAGAAACATATTTTCTCTTTATCGTTTTTCAAATAAGTACAAAATAACGGAGTTATTTTACTTTGAAAATTTAAAAAAAATGATTTTTGCTAAAATTTTGAGAACCACTGGATCTTTTCTGGATTTTCTTTCTTGTAAATTTAATCTAATACTTATGTTGCCATATTATCAAGAAATTATGTTTTTTTAACTAAAAACTAAAAACATTTCCAAAAAATTTCGAATTATTAATTTTTTTTGCGAAAAAACCTCATAGGCGTGTTTCTGGGGTTGTACTATACTACCAGTTAAATTATTTGCACTTATTTCTGGGACACCCTGTATATAGAGAAACTATGGTTACACTTGTTGAATTTGACGCCAAATATTTATACTTTTGTGAAATTTGAAAAAAAAAAATTATGTCGATACATTTATTAAATTGCAATTAATTTTTTACAAAGATATATTTAAAATACTCAATAAAAGTGTAAGTTTGGGATTAATACAATAACTTACGAAAGAAATAGCCTCGATTCTTTCCTTCCACCACCACCACCACTTTGGCCTGATTTAGCCCCACACCACGTAAAAAATGGGTCACGTGACCGATCGACCTTGATCTCGTCACGCGGTCCTATCGGTCGCTCGGTCACGCGGCCCGCCTTGTCACGCCACTCACGCCATCTCACGCCCCGCCCACTAGCACCACGCTTTGGCACAGCTGACGTCATCGGGGCCCGAATCGAGCCGACCGGACTCGAGTAAGGCCGAAGGTACCGTTTTTTGCACCGTTTTTGTTTGGTTATGTTTTTTGAGAATTTTTATTCGGGTTATAGATATATTGAAATCACGATATACATGCAATTACAGGATGTATAAAGTCTTGTTTTTTTTGTATAGTTTTAAATTATTGGGAGAAATAAAAAGATAAAATATGAAAAAATAGGTATACAGGGTGTAAAAAATAGTTTGCAAATTTTAGTGAGTGATACTACATTTAAAAAATAAAAGAAAAAGTTTCTATGGACATATTTATGACCTATGGTGTTTTCTAAGCAAGTAACTACTCTATCGTAGCATCAGAGTAACAAATTTCACGAAAAAATTGTTTACCAGTGTTCTAAAAAATAAACAAAATCTTCGTAGGGACTTTTTATTTTATTTTTATCCGTAGAATCACCCACTAATGTTTGATACATTATTTTTTTTCACACCCTGTATGCGCAGATCCTGCTACATAAAGAATGTTTGGATTTGTATTTAGCATCAGAATAATTATTGTATATCGTGATGGAAATATGTAAAATTGTACGTTTTCACTGAAGTGTTCACTGTTTTCACTGAAGTTTCACTACGTTTTCATCAAGCAAAATATTCTTTCCTTAGGGTATTATTTTTTGTGAAATTCTGTTTACTAAAATAATAGTGATCAGTATCAAAAAGGGTCACAATGTGTTTAATAATAATAATACATGGTCATAAAAAGTTGTTTTAAAACATTTTTTAAGATTAAGAAGATTTTATTGTAAAAAATAAATTATAGAATTTTCATAAATATTAATACAAGCAGCAGAAATTTAAAGTTTATAACACTTTGGTGGATACAAAGCTTAAGATTTACCAATTTTTTCGATGTTTGATATTGATTAAAAAAAATCAATAAGTTGGTAAGCCTTAAAGATCATTTTTGATATTTCTGTTCCCTTCTCACTCTCTTCACTGATTCGAGCATGCTGTTTGTGCTTGAGCATGACCCGCACGAGTTGTAGCATGCTTGCATTCGATCTTATAATCTGTATATTTTATATATATTATAATTTTCCTGTAATCGAAGAATATTTTTTAAAAATGCAAATTAAAATAAAGAAAAACACATCTTTATTGCACATTGAAAGTTAATTCTATTTAAAACTTATATACAGAGTGTTTCTCCAGGAATATATTCGATTTATATAGGATATAATATAGTCTAGAAAAATCTAAAAATTTAGAGACTAGAAAATGAACATTTTTTGACGATTTTCAGAATTATTATTTTTATTAAAAACTTGAAGTTATTCTTGGAAAAACACTGTTTAAAATATACACCTATTTTTATATCACTCACTAATATTCACTGAGATCTCGATCAATAAGCTTCCTTGCAGCAAAATTCACTAAAATGTCAGCTTACTGCTGCTTCTACATTGAAGTAGTTACTTTTTATGTCACAAATACTGAACACAGGTTTCTACCAAACAGTTTTTTATAATTTTCGAATAATTATATTGTAATATTTTAATAGAATTACATAATTTTTTGATACAGGATGGTCACTTCTTCATATATATTTTTTGTATCATTTCCTTGTTGTATAAACTTCATAGTAGTTTAAAATTCTTAGAAAAAATATCTATTTTATACTTATACGCTTTACAACAACATAATATTGTAAATATAATATGTATAAATAAATTATTTATATCTCTCTTTATAAATTTATTTCACCCTTTTTCAGAAAATTTTCTATATCAAATGGAGTTCTTGAAACCTGAGTTCAAAATTATAGCACCAAATCTAAGAATATTTAATAAAAACTTTCTGAACAACTTCAATATTTAAGTTGTGAAATTTGTCAAAAAATCTTGACAGATTTTCTGTTTGTAGTACCACCCAGATGGCTAGTAGAACCGGCAGATGTGAGTGTTGAAAGAAATAGACACGTAGCTCTTCACTGTCAGGCTCAGGGAGTACCAACACCGACAGTAATATGGAAAAAAGCTACTGGTACTGCTTTTTAAAATTATTATTTATATTTTTACCAATACAAAATATTTGTAGGGTCTAAATCTGGTGATTATGAGGAGGTGCGTGATCATATGTACACGAAATTGTTGGGAAATGGTACTTTGCTACTTCAACACGTTAAAGAGGATAGAGAAGGGTACTATCTCTGCCAGGCGGATAATGGAATAGGAACAGGGATAGGAAAAGTTATCCAGCTAAGAGTCAATTGTACGTAAAATCAGAAACAGATCAGAAACAGATCAGAAACAGAATCAAATAACAGATAGTTTCTGTTTCTTATAATTGGGACATCGTGTATATAGTGTTTAATTTTTTTTTTCTAGCGTCGCCATATTTTTCGGCACCATCTCGCATGGTGACGGTGAAGAAGGGTGACGCGGCCATCTTGCATTGTGACGTGAACGGTGACAAGCCAATTAGCGTCATATGGTTGAGAGGAGGCAAAATAGAATTAAATCCTTCGACGAACTACAGGGTGAACGCTAAACAGGACGTCACTCCTGATGGTGTAAGACAATTTGATTTAATTTTCATAAAAAAGTTTTCTATTTTTTATATTTCTGCGTTTTTATTATTTAGTGTTATAATTATAATTATTGTTAAAATAATTTTTCGAAAAACAGTAAAAAAAGAAATTCTATTGTGGTCACAACATTAAAAATAAAACTGACTTATGTCATTTCAGGTAGCTGCAGAGCTACAAATCCTAAACGCGGACGCCTCTGATTCTGGTGCCTATTTTTGTCAGGCCAGCAATATGTATGGTAGAGATCAGCAATTGGTCCAATTGCTGGTGCAAGAACCCCCTATGCCTCCTCAGAACTTGGAGGTAACCTACTAGAGATATCTATCTAGTATTTAAAAAAAAACTATAAAAAAATGTTTTAGGTACCTTCAAAAAGTAGTACTTCTGTGAATTTGAAATGGGCTCACAAAGCTGGAGATTCCAACGAAGTTTTTAAATTTATCGTTGAGTTTAAAGAAATGGAACGTAAGTATATTTAAAGCTCTTTTATATAGGGTGTGTCCTAAACAAATGAAGATTTTGTATGTTTTTACTGGTTTATTTTGTTAAAACGAATCATTTCTAGGATCCTGGCATCAAATAGACTTGACAGAAACCCCTCTACCCTACTCCGCGATCATCGACGACCTAAAACCATCGACTAAATACACCTTCAGGTAGAAAAGTATTTTTCTCAAAAGAAATCTCTTGTTTTATATTCTAATTTTTTTACAGGATAATCGCTGAAGGTCCTGCAGGAAGGAGCGTACCCAGCGACGAAATTCTTGTGAAAACCCTCAGCGAAAAACCGGCAGGACCGCCCCTGAACCCCAACGCCAGGCCTATTTCGTCCACTGAAGTGCTGGTCACTTGGACACCGCCCTTGCCAGAATTGAGGCATGGTGAAATACAGGTAGGTAATTGAAAAAAAATATTCTTATTTTTATAGGATTTTATTTTTATTTAATTTGTTGTGCTTTTGTGTATTTATGTTTTATTATTTTTAGTTATTTTATAATGCCGGTTTTATGCAAAGTGAACGCGTTCAAAAATATTTAAGACGATTATTTCTAAATATTAATATGAAAAATAAAAAAACAGCTGGTTACTAGTAACTAATTATACAGGGTGAGTCTTAACTAAGTGCATATATTTTCAGGGTTGGTAGACCTCGATAAATGAAATATATTTTCTCTTTACCGTTCTTCAAATAAGTCTAAAAGATTCCAGATATTTTACATCAAAGGCCAAAAAAAATGTTTTTTACTTACATTTTCAGAATCACCGAATTTTTCTGTGTTTTTGTTTCTCTAAATTTACCTCTGTTGCCATATTATCAAGATATTATGTTTTTTTTCACTGAAAATTAAAGAAAAAAGTTCGAAAAATACGAAATTTTCAATATTTTCTTCGCAAAAAAATTCATCGACGTGTTTCTGGGATCGAAATATACCACCCATAAAGATATATGCACCTATTTAATACTCACCCTGTATAATATATGTTATAAGTAGTGAAAATCAATTAAGAAATGTATTTGTTTTTTTTAGTTGTTTTTGTAGCTTATCTATATTTTTATTTCTAAATAATTTAATTAATTTTAATATTTTTTTGACTATTTCTCAATACATTCTAATAAACATTCAAATTTACTGTCATTGGGGAATGATTCTCTATACTTTAGCTTATATTGAAACCTCTTTGCAATCTTTACCAAATTTGTTGATATACTCATTCTGTGATATTTTTATTCAACGTTTCTTATTCTATGATAGAATTTGATATGATTACTTCCTCAGGGTTTTAACGTGGGTTACCGTTCTGCCTCTATGGGATCATACAATTTTACCTCAGTAACTGGTGACGGTGAAGACGGTGGTGAAATCCTACTGGGTGGCCTCGCTAAATTCACTAGATATCACATAGTGATACAGGCCTACAATGAAGTGGGGGCGGGTCCTCTAAGTGACCCAGTCACAGCTCAAACTATGGAGGACGGTAAGTCATTCTTATTAGAAATTAAAGTTTTATGTATATTTTTTTTTAATTCACAGTTCCTAGCAGACCTCCAATGGATGTACGATGTGCACCTCTCACCTCACAAAGCCTCCAAGTGAGCTGGCAACCTCCTCCCACCGAAGACTGTAACGGACTACTCCAAGGCTACAAACTGACGTATGAGCCAGTCCCTGATGACAGGTGGCGAGGAAACGACGAAATGGAGACTCGAAAAACGACAGCATTGACAACTGTCATCACCGGCCTAAGGAAATTCACCAATTACAGTTTGCAAGTGTTGGCTTTCACTAAAGTGGGTGATGGAGTGTTGACAGTTCCGCATTACTGTCAAACAGAGGAAGATGGTAAGGATAATCATGATTATATTATTATAATTAATAATATAATCATATCGTGGAGTGCCCAGAGACATGTGAAATCTTCTGTATTGTGTTTTATAGATAAAATACTAAAATGTTTACCCATTTCTTTTCGTTGCTTTTAATTTTTTATTTTAGTAATTTTAGTAAATTCTTAATTATTTCCTTCTCTTAATATTATGATTTTTTTAATTCTTTTTCTACGTAAATTTATTGAAATAAATAAATCTAATACATAAGCTATACCTATTCTGCTTATATTCTAATCATTGAAATTTTCATTCAAATCGAATTATACAGGGTGGCGCGTCATATACGACGCGGTTTTTGCAAGGAGAACAAAAGTTTGTATTGAAGTGAAATTTTCTGAGCTTATGTAAGTCAATTTAAGGTATTTTCTAAAATTATGTAGAGTTCTACAGGGTGTCCCCAAAAAAAGTTACACATCAAAGTTATGTTTTTTGTAATGGAACACCCTATATATTAATTGATTTTTGGATTCGAGTAAAAAAATAAAGGTTTGTTTTATTAAAAAAAGTATATGACTAAAATGTATAGTTTTTGAAATACATTCACCGGTACGAAAAATGGGCACCTTAAAACTTTGATGTATTTTAAAGGTTAATACATTTTATTTTAATGGGCCGATTTTGATGATTTTTTAAGCAGTGTGTTGCCAAATTATTTGACTTCTTAGTATCTTTTTCTAAATTAAAAATGAAACTCCCCACCTATTAATTATACAAGGGAAAAGAAAATGTTGATATTTCTTATGAAAGTTTGAAACACTCTGTGAAATATGTTAAAACAGCAAGAAATTCAAAAATTATTTTATCATCTAGATACATCCTTTCTAGATGGTTTGTTTTTTGGTTCATCTCATTAGCTTTATTTTTGTTGGAAATATTCGATTTTAAAGGAGGCATTAACATTTTTCGTAATTTTTACATTAAGACCATGCCTTTGCTTTTGGGCCTAGTCAACACATCTATATGTTCTGGTCCCGAAGACATAAGATTTGCTTCATTTAATCTTCTTTTTGTAGTCCGTTAGTGAATATGTACGGTTCTTAAGTGCAATTCTTTATCAATTTGAAAAGCTGGCAAACGGCGGTTTCTTAGCGATAAACTTACAATAAGTCGATCGTCTCGATTAGAAGTTCTCATACGAAGGTTCCTGGACGTTTGTATTGACGTCCTCATGGACGTCGTCATAATTCAAAGACCATTTAATACACTCTATGGTATTAAGGTATTTTTGTAACCAGAATTTTATAGCAAATTCACTAAACTCGAATAAATAAATGATATATATTTGACTCGCCCTGTATATCTATAAAAATATTTTTGAAATGTGAACTACTATTAAAGATATATTTCGTAAAAGGTTTGGAGTGCAAATCTCAAATAGGAATCCTGATACAGAGCTTTTCCGGAAAACGGAGCCATCTTGTATGTATGCATTTTAAACTTTGTAATATATCTTATTAACAATACAATGCAAAAAGTTTTATAAAAATTCGTTCACAGTAAAGGAATTTCGAGGTTTGTATCTCATAAGGGCTTAAAGCACTCCACTAATAATAATAATGATTTTTGTATTGTATCAAAAATACTGCAGGATATTTTTTAGGAAAGTTTAATTTTTATTACTATCATTTGTAGTAGTGTAGGTCAAGCTGTAATTTTGTGATTTACTCACTAAAGGGGGGAAATTTTGCACCCCCTAAGTACCCCTACCGTACATGAACTTTTTATACAGGGCCAAAAAAATTCCGAAGCAAAATAAAAAAATTTAGTTTAAAATAATGAATCTTTATGGTCTATTAAAAATTTTAATTTTTTGTTTCAGTTCCAGGATCTCCTGCTGATATTAAGGTGGTGGTGGCAACGCCGCAGTCTTTGAAAGTGTCCTGGCTGGCACCTTTAGAACCCAACGGGATCGTAACCAAGTACAATTTATACAGGTTGTACTTTTTTTAAAGCTATATAATGAACTGAATTAAAAAAAAAACGATTGATTGTTTACAGGAGAGCTCCTGATGGTCGACAGGAGGCTGAAAATGGTAGGCAGATCATTTCCAGTCATAATACAGTGTTTGAAGTGAAAAACGTGCAACAGCATTTGGAGTACCAATTCTGGGTGACGGCATCAACTAGAATAGGGGAGGGTCAAAGTTCTAAAGTCGTGACGCAGGTGATTACGTCAAGAAGTAAGTAGAAATATTAAATTTTATATAGTTATTTATTAAATTAAACAGATCTAAAATAAATATATCTAGGCATTGCATCTTTATTGAAGCAGAATATAAAAAATATACTACTAGAAATTACATTAAAAATACTACACTCATTTCACTTTTTTGATAGCACGACAGGCCTACACCTACATACTTTGTGGTTAAAATTGATATTATTTATTGTCTCTGAATATATACTAAAAAAATAAATTTACCACGTAAAATTCTACAGGGTGAGTCTTAAATAAGTGCACATATTTAGAGGTAGTATAGTTTCTTTCGATCACAGGAACCTGAAGTTTTTTAGCAGAAAAATTTTTGATAAATTTTATATAAAAAATTTGATAAAATTTTGATTTGATAAAACGGCAGTATAGGTATAGTCTATAAAATGAATAACTTTGAATTTTGACCGTTATTTTTTACCAACATAGCAAATATAAAATCCCTCTGTCAAAAAAGTTACTGATATTCTTTAAATTGAGTGCCTGAACGAATCAGATAGGTAACTCTTTTTACTTTCGTGAAATAGAAAAGGAAAATAATAAAACAAGTGACAGTTCTTCCTCTTCTTACAAAAATCAACACGAAATGTCATAATTGACAAAAGTAAAATGTCATCAGCTTTAGACATTTCTAAATATTAGACCAATGCCGTCTCTAATACATCAGACACGGAGCGAGATTTATGACGTCACGCTAGTTAGATACTACGGATTAATAAATATGTTGTAGAATACATGAAACACATAATTATTCCTCGTATTTTTGGTTCGTATTTTAAAAATGATGTTTTATATACATAGTATACATAGTACATAGTTTACATGAAATATACATAATATACAGTTAATAAATACAATATAATATATACCTATTTATAGTAATAAATACTTTGGCAAATAAACTATTAACTATACAAATGCAGCAAATGTTTTTAAATATACAAATAATTAATAGGCGGTACATAAGATAATGGGTAAAATGTAAAATATATTTTAAATTTTGGGGTTTGAAAATCGATCTAATTTAACAAAAAACATTCAATATCTATAAATAGTGATTATAGTAGTGAATAGTAAGTTATATAATAGTGATGTATTATTATTTGCATTAACAAAATTTATTTATATATTATAATGTTTACTGCAATTAATAAACTAATATAATCTTGTCAAAAGATGACCACATATTTTTTAAATTATTATTCTTAACACAAAAACTATCTACATTGACTATGGAGTACGATTTCAGCCATATTGTAAAACATTTGCTGCTTTTGTATGGTTCATAGTTTTATCTGGCAAAGTATTTATTACTATAAATAGGTATATATATATATATATATATAGTATATATATATAGTATATATATATATATATATATATATATATATATATATATATATATATATATATATATATATATATATATATATATATTGTATTTATTAACTGTATATTATGTATATTTCATGTAAACTATATCATTTTTAAAATACAAACTAAAAATACGAGGAATAATTATGTTTTCCAAGTATTCTACAATATATTTATTAATCCGTGGTATCTAACTAGCGTGACGTCATAAATCTCGCTCCGAGGCTGTTCTATTAGAGACGGCATTGCGTCAGCATGGCCGCAAGTTGCTAACCTAATAAAATTAACACTAGAAAAGCCCGCGGGAACTGTCAAATTCAAAGTTATTCGTTTTACAGATTATAGTAGAGTAAATTGAGATGAAGAAATAGTGGTTCTCAGAATTTATAAAAAATCATTTCTACCAGCTCTGTGGAATATGTGCACGTATTTAAGGCTCACGCTGTATGTAAATGAACATGAAATTTTATTATCGCTATTTTTGTGGGAGAATAGAACTATAATAGGAAGATAGAAATTGAACATGCAAAAATCCATATAGTATTTTAGTATCTGAAAAATATGAAAATGTGTGTAGGCCTGTCGGTTGACACAAAATGTGCATCAAAATGTATTCATATTTTTTTGTTAAACGACAGGCCTGTACACACTTTCATTATTTTCAATACAACTGTTTTTTATTTTCTTTTTCCTTTAGTACCAGCAAGAATAATATCATTTGGAGGCCTGGTAGTACGACCGTGGAGAACCACCGTTTCTTTTAGTTGCGAATCTGTGGGTAGTCCTAGAAGAGAATGGCTACGGAGTGACCAAATTTTAAAGGTCTGTTTCATTTTTTTTATCTTTTACGTTATTTTTGATAAAAAATTGATTTTTAGGGTGGAGCAAACCATAATCAGCAACTTCTCGATACAGGAGAGCTGATTCTATCTAGCCTACAGATTACAGACGCAGGAAATTATACTTGTCAAGTTGACAACGGGCATGGAACTGATAGGTTAGATTATTTTGATATTTTTTTCTTCACTTGGAATGCCAGTAACGTAATTTTTTTCAGGATTACATATAATTTGGTGGTTCAAGTACCACCAAGTGCTCCATTGCTCTATGTTACCTCGGCGACCAGTTCGAGTATTTTACTCCATTGGAAGCCGGGAAATAATGGAGGAGCTGCCATCAGTGGGTTTCATCTTAATTATAGGTCAGTATTAAATATTTTTTTCGTTTTATTTTTTAAAAATGTTTTCGTTTTTTTTTGTTGTAGGAAAGAACATGGAGATTTGGACGAAGTTCATTTGTCTCGACATGCCACCAGCTTTGAATTGAAGGTAGATATAAATTATTTATTTTTAATTTTATTATTTTTTTTCCGGTCACATTATAAACAAGTAAAAATTATAAACAAGCATGACTCTCCATGATTTTTTTATAAAGTATATCGGTAAACAAATGGTAAAAGTACTAACAGAAGATATGTTTGTTTCAGGGTCTTTTGTGTGGTTCCACGTACCACCTCTATTTGACAGCTCACAATAAAATAGGACCCAGTCCTCCCAGTCATCCGTTACAGGCCAGGACTCAAGGTCATCCTCCTGGAGTACCGCCGGCACTGTCTTTTATCAGTCCAAATTCAACCAGTGTAACGCTGCGTTTACATGTATGGCCAGATAATGGCTGTCCTATTTTGTATTTTGTGTTACAGTACAGGAAAGCGACTGATAGCCAGTGGACTTTAGGTAAATAAAAATAAGTCTTTTCTCTAATAAAATTATTAGACTAAATAAAGAGTAATAATAATGCTATCCATGTATTCACGCATTAGAGACGAAATCGACATCATTAATCTCCGTTTTTGACAGTTCTGTTTGATGAACTTTCAATTTCGTAAACTCGTTTTTTTTTAACTATTTTCTTGACCAGTTAGTTTATTTTTGTATCTTCAATGCAATAGTCTCCAATGCCCTCAAACCTCAAAGAAGGACATCGATCACCGGTCTGACCACAGCTACGAAATACGTCGTGAAGCTGGAGGCGCACAACGTAGCTGGTTTCAGCACCGAAGAATTCAGCTTCATGACGCTGACGAAAGATGGCGACGTACCGCCTCCCGACCTGATAAGGCAGGGAAACGACGATAAGCCTTTTTACTCCGATTGGAAGGTACTGATTCCTTTTATCATTGTCGTGGGACTGGCCAAGGTACTTCTTATCGGGATCGCTGTGTGTATTAGAAGACGTAAGTACTACCCTTTTTAGTATAATCTTCTTTATAGGGACTGGTAACTAAACCCAGTTTGTTTTACTTATTCAGATTTATTTTTTTATTTTAGATATCTTTTTTATAGTTATAGTAACTATATAAATAGATTTTAAAGACTGTTCAGCTACCTTTCACTGTTACGTCATCATTATTTGTCAAATATGAGTTTTATGGTGTGTCTGAGATCAGTTCATATTGTTTAGAAAATTTTAAGTACGTTTTATATATTATTTATATTATATTTTAAGTGCGTCAACAATCAAATTTTAATTTTGACACTGATCGATCTCCGTCATAAAATTATTACCCCGGAATCAAATGACAATGACAGTTACTAAAAGAATATGCAGTAATTTACGAAGTGCCGTAATGACGTCACCAATCTATTTCATCTGGTTGGCAAGTGATCGAGAGAGTTCGACAATATATGACGTGCCGTTGGACGATGGCTAAACATTCTATATATTTATTTTTCATTGAATAAATTTTAGAAGAACGTATTTTACAGTAACACATGACATATTAATTTTTGTAAATAATTTTTCTTAAGTTACTCTTCTGATGACTTCACATTTAGCATATAAAAGTTGAACCATACACAGGAAAATTATGAAAAACATATTTTTAACTTTAGAACAAACAGTAACGTCAAGTTTTTTTACCAATTTCTAAAAGATTCTTTATATAACATGGTATATAAAAGAGATAATGATAAAGAAAAATATTTCGTTATAAAAATTAAATCTATTTTATTTTTCGACAATCGATATTGTCCCATTCGGCCTTGTGCCTTTGTATTTTAGAAGGGTATTGATTTAGTAATAGCGCCATCTATGCTTCAGGACGGAAAGAGAACGCAAGAGAGCATCTGACAATCAGCAGAACGCTGAGGCAACAACGAGAAAGATATTATGCCACCATTCACAAGGTGGCACTGCAAGCTGGTGAAAAAATACCAGGTAGGTTTTTAAATACAGAGAGAAATATATATATTTATGTTAAAAAATAATATACGGTTTTATATAGTCCTGGTATAGTTCGTGGTATAGTTCTTTCTGTTTAGCTGAAATCAGTTGTTAGAAAAAATTGTCTTTAAAAAGCTACCGTGAACCACTTGAAAACAACAAATTTTCATGCGGAAATGCGTAATTTCCAAATTTCGCACTTTAGAATAACTGAAATCTGCTATAAAAAATACATTTTGCGTTTTATTTTTAATATTTTCTGAACATAATAAAAAAAATAAAAAAAATTAAAAATTTAAAAATTAGAAAATAAAAAATAAAAAAAAAATAAAAATTAAAAAAATAAAAATTAATTATTATTATTTATTCTTTTAAAAATTTTCCTGCGGAAATAAGCTGTTTTCATTTTCTAAGGAAATTTATTAGACTTTAGAATAGCTGAAATCAGTTATATAAAAAATAAATACATTTTTGCCTTTTAAAAGCATTCACGAATCGAGGAAAATAAAAATTTTCCTGCGGAAATAAACTGTATCCATTTTCTGAGGAAACTTAATAGACTTTAGAATAGCTGAAATCAGTTATATAAAAAATAAATATATTTTTGCCTTTTAGAAGCGTTTACAAACTCAGGAAAATAAAAAAATTCCTGCGGAAATGCTTGATTTTCATTTTCCATTTGTTCCTTATTATATTATCGGGTCTTGTAAAGTATAAGTACCCACGAATTTAGCAATTTTTTCTGGCAGAAAATCCTATGCTTATAGAACAGTTTAGAAGAAAAAAATCCTTGGATGAAGCACTTTCGAACGAAAAAAAATAATTTAAGTGTCTAAAATGCTAACCAATCTAATAATATTTTTACAAAATCACAGTTAATTATTAAAATATAAAAACCACAGCTTAACACCCTCCACAAAGAAAAGGTAACCAAAGCAACCCAAATCGTAAACAATCTAATAATTTATTTGCAAAATCACAGTTAATTAATTATTAAAATATGAAAGAAAACTGCATGACCCAATGATTTTTGGTTTTGAATCAGCCCTATTTACGTAAGTACTCCTAGCGCCTTCTTGAACGCATATATAAAGTCATTTTTTATATAACAGATTTCAGCTAAACGAAAGTTGAGCCTCAAAGCTCCTCTAAGTTTTCTTCTTTCACTGGCCTTCAATATTTTTAACGTTTTTTTAATTATTTCATCAAGATTTTTGTGTTTTTGTAGAAACCTCCGAAGACATATCACCCTACGCAACGTTTCAATTATCCGAACCGAGCACCCTTCCTCAGAACACCATGCTGCACAGTTTTATGTACCACGAACACCCTGTAACTGAAGGATGTGCCTCCCCACCGCCTTCCAGCTCTGTACAACGAAACTCACCTTACTATAATATCGTAAGTTTTCTATGTGTTTTAAATTATCCTACGCTTCGGTTGTTTTGTACGGTTTTGACCGTACGTTAAAAACGGAGGTGTGGGAGCTCCTTTATATTGTTAAGGTAGTTAATAAGGTTTTCTTTTGTTTAGAAACAGACTAAAAAACGCACGGAATCACCATATTACAACATAGTATGTACCTACAAGTGACAAATATAGGTGTAGTACGTCCTTTAAATTTGGCTGTAAGGATGAAAATACAAAGTTTTTACTGATATTTATTTTTTTTTCGATAGTTTTGTTATATAATTTTATATTTATAAAAAAATCAGATCGGTATGTTCATCCTAAGGTCTTTGTGTAGATTGTCGCTAAAAATTTGATGTTAAACATATTTTATATTGCTTTTTTTGGTGGTTTTGTGATCGTTATAGACCAGCTTCAGTGCCTTGTCGAAGTACCATATTATGATCAAAAAGTATTACGATTAAGTGGGTCTTATAAAATCTTAAGAGAAAATTTCATTAAAATTTGTTGAACTGTTGAAGTTTAAAGCCACACTTGATTGATAAGAAAACTTTTTGATCATACTGTGTTCTTAATGTATATTTTCTGCTTTATTTTCTTTTTTAAGGAGGTTAAATCAAACTCAAATATAATAATTTGAAGAATTTTTATTATTAAAAAAGCCTCATCATATTTTTTTAGTAAACAACAATAATAATAATCATGTTACAATAATATAATAAGCTTCTTTGTGAAGAACTAAGATGTAAACCAAGATACATTTGGAACCTGCAAAAGAAACTTTAATTTAGTTGATTTTAAATAATACTGCATATATTTCTATGCTTTTATTATTATAATCTGAAATTTTTCTTGAAAAAAAGATATTTTGTGTGTAGGTGTTGTGATAAAAGTAAAAAAAATAAGAAAATCACAGAAAGTATAGTTTTATCTTTCTTGAAGTTAAGTTTTCAAATTATAGATAAGATAATAAAAATCTACAATGTCATGTATAACTTTATAAAACAAGGTAAGGATTAAAAAAAACAGATACAAACACGTTCTTTTTGTCTGTTTTTGAAGCAAAAATTTCAAAGTACAAAGGGCCACGGCCGCAGAAGGGCCAACAGGAAGGACATCGACAGTGACGAAAGCGAATCTGACCAAGAGGCGCTCACTTCCAGTCGTACCGAGTCATCAAATCAACTGGACATGAAACATAAAGCACCAGGTAACGTCAAAATGTAAATTATATTCATTCATTTCAACCCAGTGATAATCAGTATATATTTTTTAATATTTTAATTCTAACATATAAACGCCAATCCCCAACAAAATGCCTAATTCATTTAAAATTAATCTCTTTGAGTGAATTTACAATTTATTTAATTTTTAGTCATGTAGAAATTCTTATTTATTAATTGATAAACCCTGTACAGAACTATTTTTATGTTGACTAGTGTATTTTTTTAATAGTTTCAAATCAATACTACTTTTACTATAATGCCCTTTATAAAAAATAATATATTAAGAGAATATAAAAAAATATAAGTATACTTTAGGTTGCATACAAATGTTTGCATTTTTTTTTCGTTATTGTCATATCATTATAAGTAGCTGAGTAATACTAATGAGCAATAAAGGGTATTATTACTATTAAGCCTTCACCTACCATGGCACGGCCCAGTCCAGCACGTCTTCCGACTTGTCGCCCATGTCTGAGCAAAAGTCACTGCCAAGGCGCAACAGGAACAGGTGAGACGAACCATAGAATCACTAGGGATGTCCAAACATATCGATTTATTAGGAAAAAATATCGATTTCCTTAAAAAATATATCTATTTGAATCGCAGATAGGTTTGAGGCTAGCTTACATATTATTATGTAGTGAAACTATTGAAATAGTTATGTAATTTTTTGTGTTACTTAATTATGAAGAATTTGTCAACTTTTCTATGGCGAAATTTTCGAAAATGGGCTGAATTTTTTTTTGGATAAAAACAATACCATAATTTTTCAAAAAACGTTTTAATTAACAGATACTGCAAAAATTAGCTCAACGTCAACAAATCTTCAAAATACCTTTTGGAGGTTTGTTGATATCTAGATTTGTAGTTAGTTACAAAATATTTCAATAATTCCAGGCATTTTTCTGTGACTGTTTTTTTTTATTCCTTTCGATGTTAGTGTGGTTTATAGAGTTTTGAGGGAAGTAGGGGTCGTAGAGCAATTATGGTTTTCTTATGGTATTTTTATATATATATATATATATATATATATATATATATATATATATATATATATATATATATATATAAATTCTCTAAAAAATTATATATCTAGCAAAGAATTCTACTCAGTATGCATTTTAATTAATTGACAATAAAAAGGAGTAAAAAGCAACTTTTCCCGTTTTTTTTTATTATACAGGGTGTCCCAGAAATAAGTTTGAAAAACAATAAAGAAACATATTTTTTCTTTATTGTTTTTCAAATAAGTCCAAAATAACGGAGTTATTTTACTTTGAAAATTTCCAAAAAAAATGATTTTTTGCTCAAATCTTGAGAACCACTGGATCTTTTCTGAATTTTCTTGTAAATTTAATCTACTACCAATGTTGCCATATTATCAAGAAATTATTTTTTTTAAATAAAAACTAAATAAATTTCCAAAAAATTCCGAGTTTTCAAAAAAAAAACTTTCGCGAAAAAATCCCTCATAGGCGTGTTTCTGGGGTTGAACTATACTACCAGTTAAAATATTTGCACTTATTTCTGGGACACCCTGTATAACTATGCTATGCTTAAAATTTACAGTAATATAACATAAAAAGATAGAAACTACTGTATACTATATTTAATTTTAATTTTTGTTGCGTCCTTGGTGAAAAAGGGCTTCACTACCTATATATTTGCTGTATAATTAATAATATACTAGGTAATAATAATATAATAGATAATTAATAATATAATAGATAATTAATAATATTGAAGAAGTTTGACTAGCGATAATTTATAAACCCTGAATTATTCTTGTGACGTGGATAATAATAATCAGATAATGTCAAATGGATTAATTTTATAGTTTTCTAACTTTTTTGTCGATTGGATAGTTAGGTGGTTACCTACAGCGTAAATATTCTATATCATGTATAATCAGGGGTAAATCTCTATAAAAGAAAACTGATATGTTTTTTCTTATGGACATCTTTACGTCTCACCCTCTTTATTACCCCCATCCCCCATTCTCTAACTCCTCATAGTTTGTATAGGTTCGGCGCCCAGGGTCGCTCAGGCTCCCAAAGGCACATCCTGAGCCACCTGTCGGTGGCCGAAACGGTCTTCAGCGAATCGGCCACCACCACACCCCCCGGCCAAGGCGGTGGCCAAATCGAGCTGAGCGAGGCCGAGTGCGACATCGACACGCTCAAGAAGCTCAAGCTGGGCCTGCGCAGCTCGCTGTGGGCCAGGCCGCAGGCCGGTGGCCAACAGGGAGGCGGCGGTGGCCAGCAGCCTCCGTCGGACTACTCCATTGCGGTCTAAGAGGGGTGAGTGACGGGAAAATAACGGGTGAAGGTGGAGGGGGTAGTGACAGATAGGGTTTTTTGGGGTGAAATTTCGGAATATTCGTGTTAAATTAAGAGACTTTACTGCCAAAATTATATAATATATATATTAGAGGTTAAAAGAAGAGACTTCTTGGAGATTGGCACTGAACCTTTGGATTTTTTTTAATATTTTAATCATTGAATAAAAAGACAAAGATTGGATGCACAGAAAAGAGCAAAATTGTTTTATTCAAAATCGTTTTTTATAAAAACATTACACATTTTTTATCATTTCTTAGTCTTTTTATTCAATGGTTTTGATTGTTCCCTTTGTTTCTTCTATTCATTTTTTTTATAATACGGTGTATTTAGTAATTCCTGTTTTTTTAGCAGTAAAGTAGTACTGGTATAAAGATATTCTCTATTCTTTGCTACTTCTATGAATCAATTTTCACAATCTTTCTATACTTTTTATAATAACATACGTGTATCTAAATCTTACTGTTTTTTTGTCAGTAATATTACTAGTGTAGAGATATTTTTTATTCTTTGTTTCCAATAACAAAGAACCAACTTACTTTTTGTTCTGGTCTCCATCGCATATTATTATGCTGGAAGTACCTACACACTCGCCGAGGAGGGACAAAAAAGGACGATCCTAACCAACAATAATGTACATATCGTTAATTTTTTGTCGCGCCTCGGGTCGCCTCGGCAAGTGTGTACTTCCCAAGGTTATTAAATTAAACAGGTTGCCTCGTAACTTGACATTAGCCGCCATATTGCGCATCATCGTCTGGTACTCAGCAGTTTTCAGCTTGTTTGTTTACAAATAATTTTACATTGTTTTACGAAGGTTTTCCGTGTATTAAGTGCATTTGAGTGGATTATAGGACAGTTTTAGTGGATATATTATATTTTTTAAAGTTTTAGTGTAATTATATAACGTATTATAATTGATGAACTAGATAGTTTTTTTAAATTTTCCTTAGAAATGGAGATCATTCCATTCCAACCTGTAACAGCCTATAATGTTCAGTATTGTTTTTGCTGAGTGTATGTATAATAAATTATTTCGACTGGTTCGCGATATTTTAACGTGGTAAAAAGCTAAAATTATTTTTTTTTCGAATACAAATATTGCTTGAAAATGTTAAATGTCGGCAAAATTAGATAAAAATAAATAAAGACTTTATAGAAAAACAATCTAACTTGTGGAATTGTTATTAATATTAAACATTTTGTTAATAGTTATTTTAAATATCACGCTAGCTGACGTCATCGCGCCAACTACTGTGATTGGTCCAAAGTTTCGAGGCAACCTGTTTAATATAATTACCTTGTGTACTTCCAGCATTATAATGTCTTAAACAGTCAGTTTTTAGAGGACGTCTAAGAGATCGACCTCTCCAAAATTATTATCGATTGTCATTTTCCAGCTATCTTTGACACAGTTTTTTTTATCATACGGTATTACTAGTGTGATATTTCTTTATTTATATACTGTGTGACATAGAAATCGCAACACCCAGTAAATGCTAATATATTTTATTTTCATTAATATTTTAGGAAGTTGGTAGCTGGGATAAATATGAAAAAATAATCGTAGACATTTATTTCAAACAAATGTATTTAAAAGAATTTTGGATTTTGCAATTTCTATTTCACACAGTATACAGAGTGTCCCAGAAATAAGTGCAAGTATTTTAAGGAGTGGTAGATCTCGATAAAAGAAACATATTTTCTCTTTATCGTTTTTCAAATAAGTCCAAAATATAACGAAGTTATTTTACTTCGAAAATTTCCAAAAATCTTTAGGATCTGGATCTTTTTTGGATTTTCTTGTAAATTTAATCTATTAGCTCTGTTGCCATATTATCAATAAATTATGTTTTTTGACTAAAAACTACAAAAAATGACAAAAAAATTTTTCAAAAAATTCTAAAAATTTTCAAAAATTTTTTTCTCGAAAAAAACCTCATAGGCGTGTTTCTGGGGTTTAACTATATTACCAGTTAAAATACTTGCACTTATTTCTGGGACACCCTGTATAGTTTAATATTTCCTTAGACCTTAGAATTCAACACAAAGGTCTTATCATATTTTAGGTTCTTACTTGATCACTTTCTTTATATTTAATTAATTTCTTTTTCCAAAAGCTTTAACACATAATCTACTAACAAGGAAGGGATATACAAAGGGTTAAAAAATACACAGATAGAAAATAAGTGCAATTTTATTAAGAAATATTTTTCATCTTGAAAGCATTTTTCCTTCATCAGGGTTCATTGTTGATTACCCAGAAGTCTTTGGTACTTTCTACCCTGAATTGATGCCATATGTCTGTCACTATCCTCCAGATAATCTAGCGGAGGGAAGGGCATATATATTCGAATCCAGTATCTTCTTAAATCAAATCATCACAGCTCCAAAATTTATTTATACTTAGATTAAAAAAATCTTTCAGTGCCAACAAAATATATGTATTGCCCTTTCCTCAAATGTTTTGTAATATATTATAGTTTTTCAAATAAATCACAATTTTATACAAAAAGAGAATCAAAAATATATGATATATATTGTTGTGTTGTCTGCCTTTGTTACTATTATATATGACTATTTCGAAAAGACGACTTTGGAAACTTTTTTTCTATCATTGTACATGTTATTTTGTATTTTTTATTAAACTCGTAATAAGATTTTGAACGGGCCGAGGTACGGTTCTTGGACTGTCTATTGACACGTCCATTCCTTCGAAGTACCTCGGCCGTTTACATTGTTAGGTGTACCGATAAATCAAAGATGAATCAAAACTTAAATCCCTGTACAAGAGTTAAAGAATAGTTCAAATTAAAGTCATTTGAAAAAGCCAAGCAATGTTTTATTTTGCCCCCAAATTTTATCCTGATTCTCTTGGGGCTAAACTATATTTTTATTAATTTTATCATTCTATATTTCTGATTATATTTGTTTGCTTTAATTTTGTTTTATATTTATATTTCTTTGTGACAGTAATAGATCTTAATCTTTCATATGCATTCTATGATTACAGTTATCCAATCATATAATAGTATGAAGGATTACGATTATTACTTGATCATTATTTTTTATTTTATTAATTTATTTACATTTCAGGTGTCTCTTCACTTCATATCCTATATCATTCTTCTTCCTTCATCCTTCAATTCCACCGATACTACATCTTAAATACCTTTCTCCATATTTTTGTACCTCTTACACCCTTATACATATACCCTATTCTATTCCTTATATATCCACTTAATATATATCCACCCATCACAATATTTCCTATCTTCGATCCGTTCATTCATTATACATCCAAATTTATGGATAAGTAATGGATGAATGTATCAGAGATGGAAATATTTTGAAGGTCACACATTTCAACATATTCAACATATTTATTATTACATATTAAGGTCCACATTTCAACATATTTTCATTTATACTTATATGCCAAGTGGATATATTTGGGATTGAATAATAAGTCTTCCTCCCTTCTACGTATTTTCATTCCCTGATACATCCACCCTTCCACATAATCTATTCCTAATATCCTTTCATAGATCCACCCTTTAATTTTTCCATTCCTAATACATCGACCCAACTTGGTGGATGTATTAGGAATGAAAAATTAGGGAGGACCTTTGATGGATGGATCTCTGATTAGGAATAGAAATATCTCGAAGGGTGTATATATCTTGGATGTATGTATTGGGATATGATATCCCCGGTACATGCCTAAATGATATGTACACCCTTCACGATATTCCTATTCCTGATAGGACATTAGGAATAAATTATGTAGAACGGTGGATGTACCAGGAATGAAAATATATAAACCCTTTAATATTATCCATTCCTAATAGATCCTGTAACACTACTCTATCCTTATTATACCCACCTAATATAAATTCACCCTGATTCGTATTTCCATTCTTTATACATCTCCCATCAAAAATATTTGATGGGTGAATGTATTAAGAATAGAAGACAAGGGTGGATATATGACTGGTGGATATATTAAGGATTGAATAATAATGCATCCTTCCCTTCTACCTATTTTCATCCCTCACACATCCTTCTACATATTCTATTCCTAATATCCTATCATATATATCCACCCTTTAATATATTTCCATCCCTAATACATCCACCAGGTGGGTCGATGTATTAGAGATGGAAATATAATATAAAGGTTGGAAATGATATTAGGAATAGATTATGTGGAAGGGTGGATGTATCAGGGAATGAAAATACGTAGAAGGGAGGAAGACTTATTATTCAATCCCAAATATATCCACTTGGCATATAAGTATAAATGGAAATATGTTAAATAATCATAACAAATAATGTAATAATGTAATTATGTAATCGATTACATAACGATTACGTAATGATTATATATCCATGATATGGATGAGTATATTATTAATATAAAGGATGGGTAATTGATTACGTAATCATTATTTAATCATTACGTAATCGATTACGTAATAATTATATAACTATTACGTAACGATTACGTAATGATTATATAACGATTACGTAATGATTACGTAACTATTACGTAACGATTACATAACGATTACGTAATGATTATATAACGATTACGTAATGATTACGTAACGATTGCGTAATGATTACGTAACGATTACGTAATGATTATATAACGATTACGTAACAATTATATAACGATTACGTAATGATTACGTAACGATTACGTAATGATTACATAACGATTACGTAACAATTATATAACGATTACGTAATGATTACGTAACGATTACATAACGATTACGTAACGATTACGTAACGATTACGTAACGATTACATAACGATTACGTAATGATTACGTAACGATTACGTAATGATTACGTAACGATTACATAACGATTACGTAACAATTATATAACGATTACGTAATGATTACGTAACGATTACGTAACGATTACGTAATCGATTACGTAACGATTACGTAATGATTATATAACGATTACGTAATGATTATATAACTATTATATAATGATTATATAACGATTACGTAATGAGTATATAACGATTACGTAATCGATTACGTAACGATTACATAACGATTACGCAATCGATTACGTAACGATTACATTAACGATTACGTAATGATTACGTAATCAATTTACCATCTTTCCCACTACTAATATACTAATCAGTATGATGGATGAGTATATTAGTAATATTCTATTCCTATTATCTTATCATTTCCAACCTTTATATTATATTTCCATCCCTAATACATCGACCGACCTGGTGGATGTATTAGGGATGAAAATATATTAAAGGGTGGATATATGATAGGATATTAGGAATAGAATATGTAGAAGGATGTATGAGGGATGAAAATAGGTAGAAGGAAGGAAGCATTATTATTCAATCCTTAATATATCCATCCACCAGTCATATATCCACCCTTGTCTTCTATTCTTAATACATTCACTCATCAAATATATTTGATGAGTGAATGTATGAAGAATGGAAATAGGACTAAGGGTGGATTTATAGTAGGTGTGTATAATAAGGATGGAATAATATTGCAGGGTTTATTAGGAATGGATAATATTATCAGGGATGTATGTAACATGGATGAGGAACGAAAAAAGAAATCCGAGGATTGTCCCCCATCCGGATAAAAACCCTGAAAAACAACCACCCGGATAGTTTGGGGTGGATTTGTACTATTCAAGTGTTTGTTTACCTTGCTGGATTTTCATCTGAACGAATATCCTCGGAATGTCTTTCTCAAAAGATTGTGTGAAAGAGATATCTGAGGAATATTCTTCCGGATAAAACAGCGAGGAAACAAACACCCCGATAGTTTAGTAGAGTTTCACCAATATCAGAGTTCCTCCCCATCATTTATTATATCTGGAGGAATATTCCTCAGATGCTTCAAAAAGAATCTAAGAAATATTTCTCCAGGTATAGCCTGGACGGAGAAAAATCCGGATAGTATGAAACTTACATGAAGATTAGTTTATAATGCAATATGTATTTTAAGTAGGATTATTTTTAAAAGAAAGCACTATAAACTAATCTAGCAGTAGGATCAAAATGGTATTCTGTATGGGTATGTTTTAGAAGGATAAGGGAATTGTTGTGATAAGAGTGTAAAGGAAATGTGGTATGGATTAATATTCCAGGGTACTCACCTTATAAGAACTTGTTTAAAGAAATAGCAAATGTCCAAGAATATAATATAATAATTGATGTTATGTATGTGAATTATATTATATATAAGGATTAGTTATGGTATTCTTGCACATTTGATATGTCTTTAAAAAAAATATATAGAAGATATGCATTATAGTAAAAATACCAAACACCCCTTACTAAATTGATATAATAATGTAAAAGATAAGAAAATAAAAAGAGGTAATTAAGAATTTGTTGTAATGAAATAAAATGTGTATCTGTATTAACTCAAAAAAATGGTAATTTTTATAACACTGCAGTATTGTTGAAGTATTCCCTAAATAAATTATTTGAAATATACTAACTCTTTTATTTTTTTAATTACCCTCACCCTTAGTTCAAATGGAATAAAAAATGAGAATGGTGTGAGTGAAGTCTCTTGAGAAATTATTTTTATTAAAGCCGGGTTGACACGGTACAAGTGTACATGGATCAAATACACTTGGATGCTACCTTAACTGCCATATGAATTTACTTATACGGATATCTAGGCAGCATCCAAGTGTACTGGGTCCAAATACACTTGGATCGTATCATCTTGCCTTAAGAGAGTGGAACAATACAATTAAATTATTAATAAACAATGTGTAATGATATTAAGAGATGATATTAAATAATATATTGCACTGATAAGACTTTAAATTATTTTTATTGTTTTAAAATGTTGTTTAAGTTTAATAAAATTTAATTTCATTTAATTGTTATGTGTTTTACCGAAAATAAATATATTTTTAAAAATATATTCAAATGTCTTTTTATTTCCCTTACTTAAATGGAATTAAAATAAAAAATTATTTTATAGAAGTATTATAATGATATCCTAGCGCATTCGCCATTTTCTGAAATAGAATGAGCTACAAAATTCTGGCGCATTCGTCATTTCCTAAAAAAAAAACGTGTATATATCTCAACTATAAGTAAAATTATTTTATATAAAATATATATATAACTCTAAAAATTAAGACAAGAGTATAATTCTTATCTAATAGAAAAATAACCGTATTGTTATTGGCAAATTATATAGAATACATTATGATACCTCTATAATGCCGTATAATCGAAAAAAGACGTCAAGTTGGCTGGGAAAAGATGGTCGATGATATTCTCCATAATATAATTTTACATATAAAATAACAGCGATTTTCATTTCAAAGCCAACTTTGATGCCGTTTTTATTTATTTTGGATCACATGGTATATCTAATACATAATATGTATTAAATATATCAAACGTAAAATATATGTGGAAAATATATTAAAAATCAAAGAAATCTTATTTAGCTTACCTTTATCATCCACACATGATTATCGACCGTTTTGAAGCCTTTTCAAGAACTCCATTTTTAAAAAATATTACCGTGAAAGCAGCTTAAGAGAATCCTAGCGCATTCGCCATTTCTTTCAAACAGCTATGAACAACTTTTACTGAGCTTTATAAAATACTAGGCCCACTGGATGTTGGATAGAATTACGAAAAGTTCCTTTAGAAAAAAAATGAAAAACTGACATTATTTCTAAAAAATATACTTAAAAATCAATCTCAAAAATAAAATATATATATACAAATATGTATGTAACAAAACAAACTGTAGAATCTGTATATATTTTAAATTGTTTATAGAATAATCTCGTACCATTTTGGCCTTATTCGCCATTCTATCAATACCTATTTACATATTTATATATTTATCAATAAATAAATAAGGAATGTTTTGAGAAAATATACAAAAAATATATTTTATTTTTTCCAACTAGAATCAAACCCAGCTGCACTGTCTGAATCCGAATCATTGTTGGTATTTGCGATAGGCAAACTAGTTGAAGAGTAGTTTTTGTGGGTGTCTTGGGCGTTGATGGTATACTACCCATCGATGTCTCATTTTTCTTCGATTTTTTCTAGAACCGTAGTTTTTAGAGGTCCCATAATGATTTCCTGACAAAAAAAAAATTAGATGCTTAAAAAGACTTTTACTATAATAGTAACAGTACTTTGTTGAGATTATCTGCTGATCCCCACCCTTTGTGTACTTTATCAGACATTGAATCAACAGGAGTGACAGAACTGCTACTTCCTACTCCCAGAAAGTTACTGAATGCTTCTGTGGTTTTCTTTACTCTCACATTAAACGAACCTATCCTCAAAAACCCTAAATCTTTGTCTAAGAAACAGAAAAAATATTTTTGACGCACCAGGTATAGTAAACTAAACTAATATACAGGGTGTCTCATAAATAAGTGCAAGCAAGTACTTTAAGTGTTGTAGATTTAGAGAAAAAAATATTTTTATTAATCATTTTTAAAATAAAATAAAAATAATCGAGCTATTTAGCTTTGCAAATACCGTTATGATCGAAAATCATCCATATTTATTTCCTTCATTTCATAGCCATCGCTGACGTCGTTTTTTTTCGATCATATTGTATAAAAAAATAATGCCTACATTTTGAGAACCACCGGTATCACCGGATTTTCGAATAAATTCGACGACCAGTGTTGCCACATGGACATGAAAGTGTAGACATAAATTAACTGAAAAAAAGTAGCAATATGACATGAGAATCTGCAAAAATTCTTAAGTTCAGTTGAAAATTACTGTAAAAATAAAACTAAAATTACAGTGAACTTATTTATAAACACACAAATACTTAGAATGAAGGCGAAGTAAGAGTTGGCAACATCGCAAGGCGATGATTGTAATTCCCGGAAAATAAGAAGAAAAAGTAAAATTTTCAGTAATATACTTCGACTTATTTATGACACGCCCTGTATAACAACATACAGAACTATTTAATTAAAAATAAAAAAAGTAAATACCTGCTTTACCTGATTGTTTTTTTCTTCCCTTAATTTCTGAAAAAAGAAAATTAAAACAAAATGACATTTTTCTTTATTTTATTATCCGCAACTCATGCAATAAGAGTCATATAATAAAATAACAAATAACAGAATAAAATACATATGTGTATGATTAAAATAACAATAATAAATTTTTATATACAAAATGTTCTAGTAAAATAAAAATAAATTTTTGTATAAAAAATATATATTTATTTTTCTAAAACACTGTGTATATACCATGCAATGGCCGACACCAAATAATAAAATTATGAGCATTTTTTAGTGGTAAAAACAGTGCAAAAATACGTCAAATATTTTTTTTTGAGTTGAAATTTGATAGTTTTTGATATAAATATAAGTTTATTACACTGTTTCTACCAAGAAAAAATATATAAAAATATAGCAAAGATGTGTTTCTATCTATTAAGTATATCTAGGACTAATTTGGGATTTATTAAAATAACTAAGTACAGACCTGGCCAAAAAAAAAGCAATGAACATGCCTCATGTTATCGATGTACTCTGAAATTTAAAGCTAAAAATATATACAATTAATACTATTGGTAATTTCGTTAGCTATTAGAGAATACTGACCCTAGAACATTGACTAGATTGATGTAAAATTATTTAAAATATAATTATTAGTTTTTTATTTATCTAAATATGACAAATATTTTTATAATTTCGTTGTATGAAGACATTTGCCATCTAAACTTTGAGAAAAAAATTAGAATTATTTTTTTATAACAACTTGATAGAATTAAGGTGGGTCATATACGTAAAAAAATTGCTTCAAACATCAGTTTTTATTAATTTTGTATTATTGTGTATTTAGTGAAAACCTATAGTCCTAACTAAAACTTTAAAACAGGACTTTATGAT